GTATTACTGATTGTGTTCCCCATGCCATGCACCAGTCCCCATCCCTGCAACTGTTCTGCAACTAAATTGGTGAAGCATTTGTTCCCAGTTACCTGTTTTCTGTTAAATTGCTCTGGCCAGCGATTGGATAAATGCCTTTGTGGTTTCTAAGTTTGCGCTGTGGACATGGTTTGGGACTGTCCTGCCCCATATTCTGCCTGGAGTCTGTCTTTGCTGGAGTGTGGGCAGGCGAGGTCGCAGATAAAAAGCAGTCACCTCCGCCACCATCTTTCTCACTGTTAACTTCTGTTAAACATGTTCCTTTAACGGGAATCTCCTTCTGATTTTAGTGAGCTGGACATGATTTCCACAAGGGTGATGGACTTGAAGCTGCGGGAGGCCGCAGAGGGCCTTGGAGAGGACAGCGCAGGTAAGGCACTTGCTTCCCCCGCTCTGGGNGCGAGGTCGCAGATAAAAAGCAGTCACCTTCGCCACCATCTTTCTCACTGTTAACTTCTGTTAAACATGTTCCTTTAACGGGAATCTCCTTCTGGTTTTAGTGAGCTGGACATGATTTCCACAAGGGTGATGGACTTGAAGCTGCGGGAGGCCGCAGAGGGCCTTGGAGAGGACAGCGCAGGTAAGGCACTTGCTTCCCCCGCTCTGGGAAGAGCCCTCATTGGGCTGTGGGGCAGGGAGGGGGGCTGACGGAACCAAAGGTAAGTCCACTGCTGTGTGGATTTGTAGCTTGAGTTTGCATGAGTTGGGTAATTCAGAGACTCTCAAGCCTTGAACTTGGCTAGCAGTATTTCTACACTGAATGTGGCGCCAGGTACCTTGCAAAAGGAAACAGTCTTCTCTAAAGGTAGGTGCCTTCTATCTAGACTTCCAGTTACTATATTAGTAATAATTAGTACTTTCTGTAGTGTGACAAACATGTGTCAGTGATAACCAGGCATGTAAGGCAACAGGGCACCATGAATGAGAACCCAAATTCAACATGTTATGGGTTGAATTTGTGCCTTCAAAATTCATATATTGAAGTCCTAACCCCCAGCCCCTCAGAATGTGACCCTATTTGGAAATTGGGTCTTTGCAGATGTAGTTGGTCTAGATAAGGCCATACCGCAGTAGGGCGGCCCCTAATCTACTGTGACTAATGTCCTTATAGAAAGGGGAAATTGGAACATAAACACACACCCAGGGAGAACACCACATGAAGACGAAGTCAGAAACCAGGGTGATGGTATCTACGAGCCAAAGATCACCAAAGATTGCCAGGAAACCACCAACAGTCAGGGGAGAAATGTGGAACAGGTTTCTCCATCACAGCCCTTTGAAGGAACTAAGCATGCCAACGACACCTTGATTTCAGACTTGCAGCCTCCGGAGCTGAGAGAATAACAGTTCTGTTGTTTAAGCCCCCAGTTTGCGGTACTTCATTATGGCAACGGTGCTGAACTAATACACAGCAGCAAGAGGAGAAACAGACACACAGAGGCATCAAGTGTCAGAATTATCAAATGCGTGCTGTAAAGTAATCATATGTGCTATGTTTGGAGATAATAAATAAAAGTTTGAAACTATCTGGAAGTAACAGGGAGCTATAAAAAGTATTATAGCACCCAGCCAGTGGTATAAGGCATGAGAAAGAAATAAAAGGGAGCCAGATAGAAAGAAGAAGAAAAACTATCTCTAATTGCAGATGACATGATTATAGGAAAGATCAAAAAATTTCCTAGAATTCTCAAGCAAGTTTAGTAATTGGTTCTATGCAAGGTCAATATATATTAAAAAAAAAAAAATCAGTTGTATTTTTATATACTAGCAATAAACAATTAAAAATTGCAGTTTTAAAAAGTACCATTTACAGTCATACCAATAAAAGGGATACTTAGGTACGTGTCTAACAAAATATACGTAGGATCTATGTACTGAAAAATATAAAATATAATTTGAAGAAATCAACAAAGACCTACAAACATGGAGAGATGTACTCTGTGTTATGGACTGAATGTTTGTGTCCCTCCAAAATTCATAGGTTAAAATCCTAACCCCCGAACTGTGGTGGTATTTGGAGGTGGGGACTTTGGGAGGTAATTAAGTCTGGAAGGTAAAGCCCTCATGAATGGAATTAGTGCTCTTGTAAGGCGAGGCCAGAGAGCTACTCACTCCCTTCCCCCAATGTGAGGACATAAGAAGTGGACAGTCTGCAACCCAGAGGAGAACACTCAGCAGAACCCACTGTGCTGGTGCACTTGTTTGTATTAACATATCAGTCATTACAGAGAGCATAGTAGACTAATTGAATTAATTGTTCCACTTAGAAGTCAAAGATCATCAGATTGGATTTCTAAAACTAATTCTTTTAAACAGAAAAGTTGAAGGTAAAAGGATAGAAAAACATGTACTTTGCAAACAGGGCAAAAGGGAAGCTGGTGTTTTAATAGCAGTCAAAATAAAATTTAAGGCAAAAAGCATTACTAAAATTAAAGAGGGCATCTCACAGAAGGTTCAGTTCTGGAGCAAGATACTAATCCTGCCTTTCTATACACCAACATAAGGTCAAAGGTTAGAGAGTAAAAATTGACAGTTAAATAAAATAAATGAAATCTATAATCAAAGTGGTTTATTTTTAGTACACCTGTATCAGTAATTCATAGAACAAATGTATTAAAAGTTAAAGATATAGAGTATTTAGATAACACAATTAAAAAGGCCTTGTCCTATTTGACACACATAAAACATTGAACGTGCATTTCTTCTGCACAGGAAAGAAAAAGTCCAAATTCAAAACGTTTAAGAAGTTCTTCGGGAAGAAGAAGAGAAAGGAGTCGCCTTCCTCCACAGGAAGTAGCGCCTGGAAACCAAGTGAGAAGAGTGAGGTCATTGCCATCGAGGCGGGGCCGGTGGGCTATGACTCAGAGGATGAGCTGGAGTAAGTCGTTGTCCACATCCTGCTCTGTGTCACTGTCATGGTAACTTGCTGGATTTCCGAGCCTGCTTTCTTCCTATGTAATTCCATGGCTCACTCTCCCACAGAAGTTGTGCTTCCTGTCTTTTCATACCTGGAGAATGTTGGGGGGAAATCATTAGATACCTAATTAGTGCATGTGTTAAAACTCTACAATAACTGGGGCAGGAGGTAGGATATACAGTTTCATAAATAAGCAAACAAAGCTTTAGTGAAATTTGGGAGAACTTGCCCCTTATGCCACAGCTGAAAGTGGCAAGATTGGGACATGAGCTGATTTAATTTTACCTACAATTTTTTTGAGGACCTGGATGCTATACCAGAAAATGCAGCTCTTTAAGCTTGAACTTTGAGTAATCTAATAAGAAAATTTTGAAACAGAGACAAGAAAGAAGAGGAGGGGGAAAGCTTTTTGCTGTTCCTTCTGAGAAAAATCATCCAAAAGTTTGTTAGGAAGAACAGACTCAATAGGTAGGAAAATTTGGGGAAGACTACTTGTTTTTGTAACTTGTGTTTCACCAAAATATACAATATATATGTTCTGTTATTCCTGCAGTTATATCTTTGAGTAAAAAGAAAAAGAAAAACAGGTTTGTTGCCGTGCCAACTTTTATGTTGTCTTTTGAACAACATTAGCCCTTAATTTGAGGATAAAACTCTTTAGAGGCATAATGACCCTCGGGATCAGGAAACAGACCACCCTGAGGTGGGGCCACTGTCAGCATCCCCATGATGATGGTGTCCTGCCCTCCTTCCTTCCTTCTCACCAGTCTCCTCGCCGGTGTTTAATGGAGTAGAAATTACACTGACCACTTGGTGGCACCAAATGACTGGAGAGGAAAGATGCAAGGTTTTGGGGGTTTGTTTTTTTCTGGTGGTGGCAGTGAGCACGTTGCCCACACTCACCTTGTGGAGCATGGAGAGGACAGCTGAACGCAGGTGTTTTAGAGGGCATGCTCCAAAGTCTTGAGGGGAAGACTTTGTCACGATAACATTGCTAATTATTAAACATCTTCACCGGGCCAGCCCCGGGGAAACTGTAACCCTCACCCCACCCACGGCTCTTGACTAGAACACAGTCCTGGCGTCGGGAAGACGGGCCTGGGAGTGGCCCTCCANCAGTCCTGGCATCGGGAAGACGGGCCTGGGAGTGGCCCTCCAGCCACGGAACAGGAGCATAGCAGGAGGGGCGAGCGGAGGTGAAATGACCTGTCCACGTGTCCATCTCCTCTATCACCGAGCCCATGGGAAGGTGGGGACTGTGCCCTCATCTAGCAAGGGCCTGGCCCTCACTTATTAGTAATAGTTTGCTGGCTTGATGCTAGGAAAAGGAGCTTGAGGGTGGCATGAGATGAGGCTCAGGAAGTGCAGGTGACAGTTGGAGAGAGCAGCGTGGAGGACAGGCAAGGTCTTTTTAAAGGCGCTCTCAGCCAGTGCAAGTGTGTGTCTCCTAGACCCTGCAGCAACTTCTCACCCATCACCGTGGCCAGAAGAATACCATCTGCCAAGACATTAATGCTGACAAAGCTGTGGGACCCTGTGGGCTTGAACCGTTAACGCCCATTTATTGTGTGCAGTTTTGCCTCTTAAATCTCTTAATCTGTAACAACCCCTCCCCTTCTTTGTTTCATGTCATTGACCGACTGGAAGAGCAGGGTTAATTGCTCTGCAGAATATCCCACATTCTGGCTTTGCTTTCTCTTGGCATGACTGAACTCATTCCTATATTCTCTGAATTTCGTGTAAAGTGTTAGATGGATCTAGATATTTAATTAGATTGGGGTTCAAGATAGTACCGGAGACTTACTGTCACTTCACATCACAGGGCACATACTCTCTGGTTGTCCCACTTCTGGTGTCTCTGAGACTGAGCAGTGGGTTCAGGGGGTTCTCAGCGTGATCCCCCCACCATTCTTCACCTAATGGTTTTGATACCTGCTGATGGTCATTGCCTAGATTCATCATTTCGTTGCAAAATGGTGGTTTTTCTAATTGTGCCACTTACTCTGCATGAGCCTCCTGGAATTCTGTAAAGACCCTCCCTTCATCAGCTCCTTGGTGACCCTCAAATGCGGGCTGTACAGGAAGCGCAGGAAATGCTTAGATTAGATAATGGTCCTTTTATTGATCCACCCTCAACAAAGGGTGATGACCTGGCACCCTAGCAACTTCCAGCACTGACCAATTGAATTCTGTTTTTTCTTGATTATTAAGGCAGGGGCTTTTCTCTATCTGATTTGCTTTAGCCCATGACAACCTTTATTCATCTTTATGTTCACATCATCCCACGTTATGTCGTTGGAAGTCACTTCAGTTAGCTCCTGGGTTCTTTTAACATGACCCCACTTGTCTCTGAAAGCTTCTTTGCTTTCCTGCACAAGGAGAAATCTCGGGTTATTTTGCGCATTTCCTGCCCTAGACCTGTAATCAGCCATTTCTTCACGGGGCCCTAGTTCCTTTCAGGGTGAAATGGCCTGAGGAGACCCCAGCTGGCTGCCAGGGTGATGATAGCTAGGTCATTCCTGTCACAGCTTCTAGACCTTTCCAGTACATATAACTAGGCAAGATGCTTTGTATCTTTATTGTTGAAAGTATTGCATATGTCCCCTTTCGTTTCCCCCATTGTCTCCCTCCACCCTGCTCCCGCCCCCTTCCCAGGCAGATGCTTTATTTTTTAAGAGAAAAAATAAATCATTAATTCACTGATATTTCCAGTTTAAATTTAATAAGATAAAATTTTTACTTTTTTGATTCTTTATTTGAATTGATTTTTCTCTTATACTAGATATCTTGCTAATGATATTAACAAAATTACTTATCTTCATCGAACAATGTACTTATAATAGTGCTCTTAGCCTCCTTCCCCACACAGAGGTTACATGTTGTGAAGCTTGCTCTGCACTGGATTTTTTAGAATCAGCATTGTTACTACTCAGACTACCAAGTACAACTTGATATCTTTGTGGTTTTTATTCTTAGAATTTGCCTATTACAGATGTAAAGGCAAAAGTCACTTGCAAGTGGAGTTAAAGTCACTTAAAATCACTCTTCTCTGTGTGGTTATGTCAACAACCTGATATAAAACTCAGCTTGTTTCGGGTTGTTTTCTCATTTTAGAGATTGTTCTATTTCCTTTTTTCTTTGATTTTGTCTTTTAACTGCATGAAAAGTTTACATAGTTTCAAAGGCAAAAGTGTAACCCTCGGTCCCTTGGCACCCAGTCTCCCATCTTGTTCTGTCCTTTCCCCCAAAGGAAATCATTCTTATCAACTTGTTATCCTTTTATGTTTAAAAATATAAGCAACTGCACATATAGGTTCATATACATTTATACCCCCTTGCCTGTACCGAGCTAACACACCGTAAGTGTTCTGTGCTCTGTCTTTTATGTATTCTTAAATAAAGCCTGGCACTGCCCACACGCAGCTCACAGAGACCCCCCTCCCCTGCTGGTCCGCTGCAGAGCCTCCACTAGATGGTGTTTCCCTCTTGAAGGACATTTGAGTTGCTTCCGTCTTTTGCTTCCATAAATGTTCCTGTGGTGAATGGCCTTGTGTTTCTGCCAGTGTACTTTGCGGAGGCCTTTTCATGCCGTCTCAGTTCCCAGTTCCACCCAGAGTGGAGGTGGTTGTAGTGATCGTGGTTTCCAAAGGGTGAGGCCACGGGCTGGCCACTGCAGGAAGGAAACCAGGTGTGCCTGTGATCTCTGTGACAAGAGCTGCCGTTGGTGGGAGGGCCTGCCTGGTGCTTATACTTGGCCTGAGTCCCTCCCAGAAATCTAAGGACACACCCTTCTGAAGCCACAGGTTCCCCACTTGCAATCCACTGTTGCAGGCTAGAAAGAAGTTAGAGAGCACCTTAACCCGCACAGGCAGGTCTGCAGGAGAGCAGAGCCACACCTAAGAGTCCCTAATGCCGCAGAGGACAGGATGCCCGCGCAGGGTAGCCTGGGGGGTTGTGGCGTACAAGATGGCCAGTGTCTGCCGGGGCAGCCTTTCCTTCCTTCATCGTTGGGTCTCAATCACCTCCTTCCACCTATTGTTCAGGCAGCCACTGCTGCTAGGAAAACCCGACAGCTAACTCACATCCTCCTAGAACATTTTGTGAATGCCCTGTGGGTTGAGTTCCAAGCTGGAGCCTTGAGCCGGGGAAAGGGCTGCACTGGTGATGACAGGAGGGGCTGCCATCTACTCCAGGACCTAGGCACACAGGGTGCGTTGCACAGATCACGTCAGGTAATGAAAAGGGAGCATGTCAGGCAGGCCCTGGACCTGCTGTGCAGACACAGCCCCCAGCCCACCCAGGGGCTGCACGTTGGCCCACAGGAATGAGCTCACCCTCAGACAACCCAGCCAGCCAGCCGAGGCCTCCTGTCTTGGACCTCACACCTCGTCAGACCCAAGTTTTTCTATTAATAAAAAGAATCCACACAGACTTCAGACCTGTTAGGAAAATTTCTATCTCTGCAATGCTCCTAGTAGTAGACTGTGGGATTTGACAGGGTGAGGATAGACCAAAGTCAGGAGCAGCCATGGGCTGGTTGTATGCAGGGCCCCTGACCCACATGCCCCGGCTGTTCATCCGGAGGACCCCAGCTGAGGGGGCAGCGAGCAGAGTTTCACGGGGTCTCTTTCATCCTAGGGAGTCGAGGGGCGCGCTGGGCAGCCGGGCCCTCTCACATGACAGCATTTTCATCCCTGAGTCGGGACAGGACCCTACGCGGCCTGTGCGGGTGTTTTCCCAAGAAAACGTGTGTGACCGAATTAAGGCTCTGCAGGTAAACTTTTCTGTGGCAGCGTCCCTTGGTATGTATGTGGAATATAAATCGAGATGTTTTTAAATTGCTCCTGCTTGGTTTATTTGATTATATTGTAAAGTAAAATCACGTGCATGTCACAGCTTTCCCACACCAAGTTAGTTACGACTGGATCTCGACACGTCTGAGTTATAACTACTCATTTTCAAGGTGACAGCCAGAGCTGGTGGCAGACGTTCTTGTCTGTGGCTCAGTCCTCTGCACCTCGGCAATGGCATTGAAAATATCTCCCAAATGAATGAATTGGGGCAGGAGGGTTTGTTGATAAAGCCGCTGATGAAAACAAGAGCAAATGTTCTTTATTCCAATCCAGTTAAAAATACAGTGTAATGTGAAAATGGGGCCACCCCCTCCTCCAGGGCGCCCTCCTGCCAAGCGGGGAGATGATGCCGGCATGAGTTCTGAGGACGATGGACTGCCCAGAAGCCCCCCAGAGATGTCCCTGCTGCACGACCTGGGTCTCGGCACAACCATAAAGGCAAGTGCAGCCTGCACCCTATGTGTCCACCCTCACTCACCACAGAGGACAGCCAGGGCCTTGGGTGGCCCCCTGTGCAACCCCCCACAGCTGGTGGCCGGCTCAGTGCAGCAGGAGGCATTCCAGACCAGGCCCCTGGGGCCCACAGCCAGTGTTTATTTTCATTCTTTGAGCAGAAGTTCAGGTCTTGTTGGGAGACAGGGTTTGGGTGCATTCTTTATGAAGGTTAGAGGTCTGGTACAGTGAATGCCATACCTCGTTTTTCCTGCCTGAGCAGATGGCCAGACCAGAAGGAAACGCCTTTGTGCCTGTTCTCTTTGTCCGGACTGGCTGGAAGGAGGAGGGAGTGGTGGACATGATGACTCAATCTCGGCTGTCACATCTCAGTGGAGGACCTTGAGAACTTGTTAGGTCAGGGGCGGGAATGTGAGGCATGGTTCTGGTAAACAGGGCGGCAGGGGAGGTTTGAGAGGCAGGAGAGGTACGCATGACCCCCACAGGGTGGGGGAGCTCATCCTAGGTGCCCCCTCCCCTCCGCTGAGAACCCGGGAAGAGGAGCTGAGCTCTTACTGATGTGTGAACAACAAAGCTCATGGTGCCTCCACTTTAGGCCCTACATGTGCTTGTACATGATATTTTCCCTCATAGACAGGCTTGCTGAGGGTTGGACAGAGTTGGAGTTACTCGTGTTATGCTGACAGGTGGGAAACAAGGTCCAGGGTCCATTTTTAAAGCCACACCCCCGCCCAGTGCATCCTTGGGGCAGCCACTTCTGCCTGGTCAAGGGCATTCATGATGAGGTCTCGGGGGTTCATTATGAATGAGTCTTGCCAATTCTGTGCTGAAATCCAAAGGCCAGGGGATGACTATCTGCTCACTTTGTGTGTGCTTGTGGGTGCCCAGTGGATCACTGACACTAGGCCCAGGGAGGCTGCGGTGTGGTCGAGTGTGAACAAGCCCAGCACTCCCTTCAGAACTCTGCTCGAGGGCACACCTGTCCCTGCTGGCTCCACGCACAGGTCTGAGGATAGTGGGCTACCCACCGCCGCTCTCCCACCTTGTGGAGAAGGAAGAGAGGACGGGGGCGGTTTGCCCTGTTTCTTGGACTTCAAGCCAACCTTACACCCTGTAACACCTTAAAATACTGGAGAAGTTGACATGCTTGTGGCTGCTTACGTCATAATTACCACGTGACAGGCACATCGTTGCACCCTCAGGGGTGCAGCCTCAGTGTCCCCTGGCCTCAGGACCCTATGTGATTGTGTGTCTCAGGGCCACGTGGGGGACATGTCCCTTGTGAGCCGTTGCTGACCCTCTCGCCCCATTCCATCACACGGCATTGCCCGATGCTCGTGTGCCATAGTTCCCTGTGTTTAGCGGGGACAGACAGTACGAGACCCGGCTGTTTCCAGTCCGTTCACTAAGGAGTAAACCCAGCTCCAGATCCACCAACCGCCATAATGTGCAGATTCTTCCACGGTTAGCTGAGTGGGAACCACTCATGCTGGGCGGGGCTGACCTCGTCCCGCTCAACAACCCTCCCATGGTTGTCAGGATCCTTCAAAAAACATTCTTGGATTTTATCAATTATTGGATTATACGAACAATCCACTAGCTTCATAGAAAACCAAAATCTGAGTCTTTAAGCCTTAAAAAAAAGAATCTTTATCATCGTGGTTTTGAAGACACAATGATCCTATTTTGTGCCCTGAAAGTTTTCCTGGGGCCCAGTGGCCAGCTGAGGGGAGCAGTGCACACTTTAAGACGTGTTTATATAATACGTGGCATTTGATATAATGGGGCCTGAATCCCAAAGGATGGCATTGTGGGCTGTTTATTTTTTCCTGCTGTGATGCTTCACACAGGCTTGCATGCTGGACAGAGAAACTTAATGAAGATTACTGTGAAAAAGGTCTTTAGTATCAATATTTGATGCCACTGCCAAGGTGATATTTCTTGGCAGAATGAGTTTTTTGGGAAATACCCAGAGTCACTTTTTAAAGTTTCATTGGCATGTGAGCTGGCAACTGATGAAACTTAATTTGGTGATTTCAAGGTAAAATTCCATCTAACTAGTCATGTTCCAGGTTTCCTGCCACTAAGTACGGAACACTGGATAGAGTGTGGCAAACTGGCAAGTCTGTTTGCTGCAGGAGAGGAGGGCACGTCAGTGAAGGGGACACAGCTCTGCTGACAAAGGGGGAAACGCACCCACTGCTGCGGAGCTGGAGGCCTGGGCAGGTTCCCTCACTTCTAGGAATCAGAGGGTTTGGGAGAGAATCAGAAGAGATCAGGTAGGGCAGTGCCAGCCTTTTCCTCATGAGCTCACACCAGCTGGCTTCTTGTCCCAGATCAGCCAGCCCCACCACAGCTGCCCCGAATCTGCTGGCCGCTCCTGGACTCACCACCCTCTGCCTTCTGCCCATGGCTGAGCCCCTCTTTTTGAGAACAAACATTTTAAAGCAACTGTCACCCATGGTCACCCCCAAAAAAGCCTCTGAACCCCAGGCCATTTCCTTAGGGCCCTGTGAGCCACATCCTCCAACAAAGGGCCACAGTTAGACTTTTAAATCATCCACTTCCAGAATCATCCAGAAGCACAGATTTCAGGGAAAACGGGTGACTGGGAACAAGCAGTGCCAGTGTGCATGCTCAGATGCTGCGGACCCACAGGTCAGCATTCCTGCCCCTTCGCCCCGTGGGCCCTACCCCACCTCTTGCAGGTGCTTCAGTGACCAAGAACGGGGTTCATGGTTCTCCCTGGCCCAAAGAGGTTGGTCTTTCCAGACCTAAGACCTCAAGCCACAGCGAGAGTTCAGCTGCCCAGCAGGGAGACTCACTGTGGCAGCCAGCACGGGGCGTGTGCGAGGACATAGGTTGTTGTCAGGGAAGGGAAGCTCCTGGCCAGGGCCCCCCAGCACAGGGGACAGAGTGGGGTGCACCAGGGCCATCTGCTCAGAAAGAGTAAATGTAGGGTGCCCTGGTGCAGGGAATGCCTGTCCTTTGGGCTTATAGAGGGATGACCAGAGGCCCTTTGTCATAAAAGAAATCATTCTCGTTCCTACATGCACTGTATTACAAAGCAGCTCATCTTTCTATTTTCTGGAGTCCCAGACAATCAGCAAAACAAAAGAGCCGAAGTTTTACCAGGTGTTTATATACAGTGTTCCCCTGACAAGATGGGTAATGAAGGATTCTGTATGATTTTGAAATGCACCCTTTCTGCTGGTGACGGTTAAGGAGGACCACTTGGGGAAGCCATCGCCCATTCAACCTAAGGCGACTTCCTGAGCCATCGATTACAACAGGGGAAGGAAGCTGAAGCCACAGGTACAGAGAACATTGTGGCCAGGAGTCCTGTGGTTTGTTTGAAAAACATTTTTTTTGTGCTTTTATTCCTATAGGAAACCAAGTAGCTAAAACAAGAGAACTAAAATAGCGTATGTCCACTTATAGCCCCTTTCCCTCATTTTTATAATTGTCTTCTCCCAACTGACAGAAATAAACTTTATACTTGCCTGACAAAATGTAAGGGACCTTTCTGCGAACAGGGAAGAGGCAGTGCCCTTGCGGGGCGTCCCTGCGTCAGAGCCTGTCTGTCCTGCAGTGACCTCCTCCTGCGCCCCATCCCCTGGTTCAGAGGAGGCTGCTGGCCACCTGCTCTGTGTGGGGCTCCAGGGCCCTGGAAAAGCAGCTGAGCGGGGTGTACACCTGCCCCTCGGAGCCTGCTGTCTGCCTGCCTCCCGAGAAGACTGTTTCCACAAGGCCTTACTAAGTCATCCTGAGATGCACAAAATTACGGTCTTAAGTTAAAATGGGAGTTTGACACCACCTCGCCTATTAGGATGGCTACTGTAAGAAAACAAACAAACATTAACAAACAAAAACATATTTTGGCAAGAATGGAGAAATTGGAACCCCAGTGCGCTGGTATTCACAAGGTAAAACAGGGCGGCCGCCGTGGAAAGCAGCATGGAGGGTCCTCAGAAAACTAAAATAGAACTAGTGTATGACCCAGCAGTTCTGTCTGTGGGTACCCAGCCACAGGAATTGAAAGCAAGCTCTCAACAAGATATTTGTACAGTCATGTTCATAGCCCTGTTCGCAACAGCTGAAATGTGGAAGCAACACAAGTGTCCCTAACGGATGAGTGGTTAAGCAGACGCAGCCTGTATGCACAAAGGAAGGAAACTGGCACCTACTGCAGTGAGGGTGAACCTCAAAGACACTGTGCTCACAAAACAGCAAGTAATGTAACATTCCGCTTACATGAGGCACTCCAAGTCAAATCGTAGAAACAGAAAGTAGAATTGTGGGTGCCAAGGGCTGGGGGAGAGGGAACCAGGGAAATGTTTGATGGGCACAGAGTTTCAGTTTTACAAGAGGAAAAGTTCTGGAGACGGATGGTGGCGATGGCTGCGCAGTAATATGAATGTATTTAATCCCACTGTACTGCACACTTAAAAATGGTTGAGATGTTAAATTTTATATGTATTTTACTACAGTAAAAAAAATGGAAAATAGTCCCGGAGAAACCACATAAGCTCGACACTCATATTGAGCGCCACCCTGGAATAGAGTGTGAGTGGATGCAGGTGGCAAGGTTGTAACTCGAGCCAGCACCTCCCAGCTCCCCTCTGTACCTCGCTCGTGTCCTGGGCTGCATTTGCCATGCTGTTCAGTGGGCACCCCTCTCTTACTGCATGCTGACAAATGTCTTTGTAAGAGACCCACTTAGACCTCACTTGGTGGGGGGAGTTTGCCAAGTTCAGTGGGCAGGGAGCTTAGGGTGTTGCCATCGCTCTTGCATGTGACAGCCAGACTCCCTGGCAACGCTTTTGTCTTTGGCTGTCGGTCACTCCCTTCTGAGGTTTAAACTAGTGAAATATTATTACTTAACAGATGGTAACTTAAACCAGATTTCTCCAAGACGTTGCGTAAAGACACAGAAACCTTCTAGGATGAGCAGACCGCAGCTCCAGTGGCAGACTGCTAAGCAACGGGCGCGGCACATCCTGTGCCCCTGCCTGGGAGTCACACTGTTGGGCCACCCTTCAGCTTCCGAAGGCAGGACCAAGCCTGGCTCTGCCCCTGGAGGAATCGAGCTGGTCTGTGTCATCAGAGAGATGCTCTCGCCTGAGCACCCGTGCCCGCAGCTGTGGGAGGGTGATGGCCGTTGTCCTGCTGAGGGGCCGGGGGCACAGGTTCTCTGTGTGGCTGTGGAAGCGAGTGGCAGGTTTTCAGGCACTGGCCCTACACTTAACGCTCCCAGCCCTGTATCCTGGGGCCCTCCCTGTGGAGACTCAGTGTGAAACGTCCTCTCCTGGGAAGACAGGGCACAGTGAAAGGACAAGTCGAAGGGTTGCTGGCTGCACCCATTCATGTCGAGAATTAACATTGCCATACGCTCCTTCTCTCGTGAAGGTCTCTCTGGTTTCTGCATCTCGGCCGCCCTCTCCAGACCAGCTCTCCTCCAGGCACACGAGCGATGCCCCCGTCTTCTCCAGGGCCTTGGACAGCAGTGTGGCGCCGGTGGCTGATTTCAGTTACCCCCCAGAATTCTCCTCCTGCCTGGACAACTCTGCAGCTAAGCACAAGCTCCTGGTTAAGCCCCGCAACCAGCGGTCAAGCAAAATGAGGCGTCTGTCTTCGGTAATTGGGCTTCTCTCCCACCCCCACACCCTGCCTCTCTCCCCACAGGGTCAAGTGCCCCCTCTGAGCGATTTCCGTGGCCCCATTGACCTGCTCCATGAGGTGGAATTGCTTGACGTTTCACCATGTTAGATATGTCTCTCCCCTGCGTGAACACTTCATTTGTTCGTTCATTCATTCATTCATTCATTCATTCATTCATTCATTCTGTAGCCCTTATCAAGAATCTGCCGTGTGCTGCTTCTCAGTGCCTTCCCTCTGCATTCATTGACATCCACACTCTGGGCCTGGCACGCCCAGGCCTGCCTGCCTCCCAGACTTCCTCTTGCTCTCTCAACACTGGCCTCCTTTCTACTGCTTGAGCTCTCCAAGCTGTTCTGACCTCAGGCTTTCTACCTGCTCTACCTCCTGCTTGGGACACGGTTCTCCTGGCGGCTCCTCCTCAGCCTCGGGGTCTCAGCTTAGAGCCCTCCCCCCAGAGGCTCACCTGAGCATCCTGTGGAAGCAGCCCCCCTTCCCACCACCGCGCTCACTTCCTTCATAGCACTGGCCACACGCAGACACGACCTTTGGAAATGTATGTGCTCACTTGTTTACCGCCAGTCTTCTCTGAGACCTTGTCCCAGCTGCACTCCCAGCCCCTGGAGCACAGCTAGCCACAGAGCTGACATCCAGCAAACACTTGTAGAATACATGAATGAATGAACAATGAATGAGTGACTGGCAGGAGAAGAAGCTGAGCCACTAGAATGGACACCACCCTTGGGTGAGGACCTGCTTAGTAGCAGAGGGATCGTGCCCATGTGAGGACAGACCTCTCTCTGAGCATGCTGCCCCGGGCAGTTGTCAGCTCATAGTTATGGGAGCCGAGAACTTGCTTGTGCAGTACTTTGGCCTCATGGTACCAGGGAGTTACCACATAGGATTGGTGCCTTCTCCCCTGCCTGGCAGTGCCTGCACTGCCTCACCCCTGGAGGAGCTGAGGAACCGGGTGCGGGCCAGCCTGGCTAAGCAGCCGACAGTGCTGAGAAAGATTCTCAAAGACCAGCATTCTCTCCCTTCGTCCCTTGAGACAAGACGGGGGTGATGAAGGAGCCGGGTCAAGCTAGGTGCTTCAGCTGGAGACGGTGGCACAGGGCCGCTCAGGATATCAGGGACTCCCTGAGACAGTGTGTCCCTTTGGGCGTATGGAATGTGCTTTTGAAACTCATGCTAGAAGGTTTGGCATGAATTTTAAAAGTTTGGCTTTTGAGGGGACTAATAATGGGGAAAGAAGTGAGCTATGGTTACCTCCAGGGCGCTGTGCCCTCAGCAAGCTGGGGACTAGAGGATGTGTACAAGTGCTCACATATCCAGGTCATTTACAGTTAGAGGCTCTGAGCTGTGGGGACTTGGCAGGGTCAGTAGCTCTGACCTGCCTGTCCTCGTGCTGAGTGGAGCCGCAGGGCAGGGAAGGAGCCAGCTCCCTCTGGCCCTCGAACGTGGGCTTTATTCCCACGGGGATGTCTGCTGCCCTGGCAGGGGCATGTGTAACCAGCCACAGCCCGGCCAGGACTCGGGGCAGAGGGAAGCCTGGCTCCCACGTGAGGGGGAAGTGCAGTGTCCCTTCTTCCTGCACCGGGGAAAGAAGAGCTGTACCTCTCTTTCTTAGCTCTTGAACTTGTCTTCGCTCTTAAACCACATTTTTTCAAACAACAAAAAGTCTTTCCTTGATTTAGAGTCATTTCCATTTCTTCTCCTTCTTTCCTTCCCTCCTCGGTGGGGGCTGCATGGACATGCCACGTGTTTGGAGGTGTTCATATTTTTCCTACTGGGCAGAGGTAGCTGGCCTGTGGTCACCAGTATCACTGTTTGGTCCTCAGTTGGAGGCTCCTGTTCTTCAGTGTCACCGCCCCCTTGGCCCTTTGGTGATGAGGCCTCTCTTCCCCACCACAAGAACCTTCCTGATAATGCGGCACCCTGGGGACTAAGGTGCTTCCTATGCTCCCATCTGCTCTGTGGGCGGGAAGAGCCACCACGCTGCCCCTCTGCTGCCCCTTTGGGCTCCACTAGACAGGGGGGTCCAAGTTCCTCCTGCTTCTCTGACCCTCCACAATATCTGGGATCTCTTTCTCACCCACCCACCCCCACCCCAGGCTCAGGTCCCTGCAGAGCCTCCACTTTAGTCTCCTCCTCTGGCTGCCCAAGTGCCTTCCTCCATTTGGGCAGAACCTCAGTCCATGCCCAGCTGGGCATCCCCAGCTCTGTCATCAGTGAAGCAAACTGTCCCCCACGCATCTAGGCTTTGAGTCTATTGCTCCAGAAGAAAGTAGAGGGCTTTTCTTACCTTAAAAACCCAATCTGGCATAGTTATTAAAAAAACAAAACAAACAAAAAAATCTTGGCTCTCAAGACTAATATTTATTTCAAGTTTGAAAACCACATTTAGGTGTGCAACTGGCTGAACCTGTCTGCCCCTTCGAAGCAGAGGTCAGGGAAGACTGGCGTGGGTGGTTAGCTCAGCATTTTACCAGCTGCATGGAACTGTGCCCTTTGGAGCTCCAGCACAGAAATGGCGCACCCATAAGTGTTGACACGAGCATCTCCCCACACCAGTCCTCATCCCAGCCCGGCAGTGCCAGGAGCAAGGAACATCACAAACTCTACCAGGAGCAGCATCGTGAGATGCCTAGGTCAAGGTTGCATGGCTGGCAGAGCCGCCAGCTACAGGCCTCAGGTGTCAGAGACTGGTGCCTCCCCTCACCCAGCACTGCTCACCAGCAGTGTCTTCTGCCTGGAGAGTATGTGGATGCTGCCCCAAGACTCGTGCTGGTGAGAGGAGGTAGTGAGTAGGCAGTCAGGATGGTCTCCATCCTGGTGCAGGCTGAGCAGTGGCTCCTCTACTTCTGCTTTCCAAGGAGGGCCCAGAGGAGGAGGTGAGGGGGAGCGGTGGAGATGGAGTGGGCATACGCATCCTTGCTGCTGTGCCCTGACCCCCTGCTCAGCATCCAAGCCCATCCTCTAGAATCCATGTTCCACACCCACCTTTGTCCTGCCCACCCCTCCACTGGAGCTTCCCCGGAGCTGCCGCTGGCTCAAGCTGGGATGGGCCCATGTGGGGCCCATGTGGGGCCCATGTGGGGCCTGCTCCCCCTCTACAGGCTTAGTGTGGGCTCTGAGCATTTTATAACATGACCCTCATCCTAAAGAGATTTCAACATCAGAGATTTCTTGTAACAGCAAAAGGCCAGTAATGCCTTTGTACCTGTAGCTTTTGACATTTCTGTAGGTTTCCTCACGCATGTCCCTCTTTTCATACCCAGAGGGATAGGAGTGTGAGTCTTGGCAAGAGTTAGCTTTGGTTATTGTTCAAACATCCCAGTTATCCTGTGTTCTTTAGCAAGGAGATGCTGGCTGGAAAATGTTAAAAATAACATCAACAAACAACAGAAACCTGTCGCAAACACCCAAGTGTTGCCTAAGGGGGGAGGAGAGAGCTGTGCGTCTGCAGCGGCCTGGGGACTATCCGGGTCCAGTGTCATGAATTTTTTACAAAGATCAGTCTCAAAACCCTCAACCTTTGGGTCATTTTCACGTATGACTTTTGAATGATTCACAACTTCCCTGATCTCCTTTCCTTCCTAAAAGAGCAGGAATGGCTCTGTGTACAGTAAGGAGGGCCAAGTCTAAATTCCAGGGACCTTGCAGAAGAAAAATGCCCCAAGACAGGGTAAGGTTTCAGGAGAGAAGGGAAGAGGCAAGGCTTTCTGTCGGAGTGAAATGTGGGAGTCCTGGGGGTGCTTGTAGAGTACTCCGGAGGTGTGAGGGAGTCGCTCAGGTTCACAGTCTGGTACCTACAGTAATGGGGGCTCCGCTGGACCTGAGGAGGGAGCTGGAGAAACAAGAGCAGAGACTGTAGACTAAGTTTAGCTGAAAACTTTGGACTTTATCTTACAAGCTGTGGTTCACTATTGATCCTGTTTGACACAATATTATCGCATTTCAGGCAAACCAGTCTGCCCTCGCTATGAGGGTGCAAACCTGGGTGAGAGTGTTGAGGTGGGAGGCTGGCTCCGAGTTGGGGTTACAGAGCCCCAGCTTCCTCTGGGCTCATGAGCTCAGCCTCTACCAGGGTGTGGACCTGGCTGAGGCCGATCTCTAGGTGCGCAGGGGTAACAGTCCTTCCCACCCTGGGGTGAAGCGAGGCGTAAAGACATAACGCACGTAGAGTGCACAGGGTGGCAGACCTGCCTCCACCTGGTGCCCATCCCCTTTCCATTGCTTCGCTCTGTGGAGCACCATCCTGTGACTGGGCCACAGAGCCTTAGGCAACGTTTATTTTGAGGGCATGGCTGCCATTGTTCTGCCGAAAGCTGAGTTTGTGAGGGAAGAATCCAAAATAGACCAGTGAGGGAGGGAGTAGGAAGAGATGGCTGGATGTGAATGTTCCCTCAGGTGCCAGCTTCTGAGATGGGAAGCCTGGAGCAAAGCAGGCGGGTCGCAGGCCCGATACTCGGTGCACTCATGCTGTCTGTTCTTGTCACCTCTCCTAGCGGGCACAGTCCGAATCCCTGAGCGACCTGACATGCACCCTCGAGGAGGAGGAATCCCACGAGAAGCCATTACCCATGGTCAGCTCAGAGGAGAAGCCCAGTGCTGGACAGCAGGATGGGGTGCTGGACAGAGGCCCCGAGCCTGGGGAACCGGCCACCGTGCTGCCACCTGTGGGACCCCGTGCAAGACGGGCACGCCTGCAGCACTGCCCGGCGCTCAGTGCCAGTGCTGAGGAGGAGAGCTCCCCTGGGGACAATCCCTCGAGCCGCCCAGCCACCCCAGAGGTCGCAGAGTCCGTGTCAGGCCCAGCCCCCTGCTTGGAGTCCCCACATCTGCCGGAGGATTCCCCGCACCCCGAGCCTGACAGCAAAAATCAGAGGGAGGAGCCATCTCTTGAAAGCATGTGTCTGCCATCCGAGGACACAGCTGACGAGGTGGTTTGTACTTCTGGAGACACTGAGAGCTTGTTATCTCCCTGTGTCCCTGAGGAAGACACAACACCTCCTGGGGCCGGCCCTGCCATCCCCATTGAGATTCCCCCTGGTACAGACGGGCCAGACCCCAGTGTACAGAAGGAGGCAGAGCTGACACTGGCAGAGCCCAGTCCCCAGGGAGCAGAGACTCAGTGTTCTGAGGACCATGCCCCCAGCCCCCCAGCCCCCAAGAGCTGCTTGAAACACAAGGCCCCAGCGGCAATCCGGAGCCTCAGCGTGTCCCCCACCCCACCCACTTCAGAGTCACCTCCAGAGGAGCTCACTCCCTGTGCCCTGGACAAAGATGTCACCCCCATGGAGTCCCCCAGGGCTGAACAGGCTGAGTCCCCACACAGGGAGCCCGAAAGGGAGGCACCGGAGCAGAAAATCGGGAGAGGAGNGAGGGAGGGAGTAGGAAGAGATGGCTGGATGTGAATGTTCCCTCAGGTGCCAGCTTCTGAGATGGGAAGCCTGGAGCAAAGCAGGCGGGTCGCAGGCCCGATACTCGGTGCACTCATGCTGTCTGTTCTTGTCACCTCTCCTAGCGGGCACAGTCCGAATCCCTGAGCGACCTGACATGCACCCTCGAGGAGGAGGAATCCCACGAGAAGCCATTACCCATGGTCAGCTCAGAGGAGAAGCCCAGTGCTGGACAGCAGGATGGGGTGCTGGACAGAGGCCCCGAGCCTGGGGAACCGGCCACCGTGCTGCCACCTGTGGGACCCCGTGCAAGACGGGCACGCCTGCAGCACTGCCCGGCGCTCAGTGCCAGTGCTGAGGAGGAGAGCTCCCCTGGGGACAATCCCTCGAGCCGCCCAGCCACCCCAGAGGTCGCAGAGTCCGTGTCAGGCCCAGCCCCCTGCTTGGAGTCCCCACATCTGCCGGAGGATTCCCCGCACCCCGAGCCTGACAGCAAAAATCAGAGGGAGGAGCCATCTCTTGAAAGCATGTGTCTGCCATCCGAGGACACAGCTGACGAGGTGGTTTGTACTTCTGGAGACACTGAGAGCTTGTTATCTCCCTGTGTCCCTGAGGAAGACACAACACCTCCTGGGGCCGGCCCTGCCATCCCCATTGAGATTCCCCCTGGTACAGACGGGCCAGACCCCAGTGTACAGAAGGAGGCAGAGCTGACACTGGCAGAGCCCAGTCCCCAGGGAGCAGAGACTCAGTGTTCTGAGGACCATGCCCCCAGCCCCCCAGCCCCCAAGAGCTGCTTGAAACACAAGGCCCCAGCGGCAATCCGGAGCCTCAGCGTGTCCCCCACCCCACCCACTTCAGAGTCACCTCCAGAGGAGCTCACTCCCTGTGCCCTGGACAAAGATGTCACCCCCATGGAGTCCCCCAGGGCTGAACAGGCTGAGTCCCCACACAGGGAGCCCGAAAGGGAGGCACCGGAGCAGAAAATCGGGAGAGGAGGTGGCAAGCCACGGGGCGTGAAGAAGTTCTCCGTGTCCTCAGGCCGGGCGTGGCCACACACAGGCCACAGAGAAAGGCTGGGGCGCCCTAGCCCCATGGGCCCCACTGCTGTCCCCTCCACTGTCCGGCTGCCCCTGTTGAGGAGCAGCCTGGCCTGGAAGAGCGAGGCCGCCCTCGATGACCTCCAGACGCCTCTGGAGCATCAGAACCAAAAACTGGACCCTCAGGAGCCACCTTCACCAGCTGAGTGTGGCTCTCAGGACTCAGGGATCAAGGTGGCCAGCCAGGCTGGGCTGGAGCGGAACCCCCAGGATGCGGCGACCACACCAGCCACAAGAGAGCCCTGCCCCACTACCCAGGAGCCTCTCCCGAGTGGGGACAGAGGCCCCTTCCCCGTCAAGCTCCGGTCCACGTCTCTCTCCTTCAAACACAGAGATGTGTCCTCACCAGAAGTGAAAGGAATCAAGAGGTACAGTGCTGAGGTCAGGCTAGAAAAAGGAGGACTGGCTCTGCTCTCAAAAGATGACAAGTGTCACATGGGGACGGCCCCCACTATTCGAGGGGCCAGGTCCCCCAACAGCCAGGGGAAGGGGAAGGCCCGGTCATCGGAGCAGCCGGGCTCTAAGCCACCCCTGCCCAGGAAGCCGCTTCTGCAAGCCCTCACCCTCCCGTACCCACCGGCGTCCCTGGATGTCAGCCCCGGAGAGCTGGACAAGGCCGCGCCACCCCCGGGCCCCAGAAAGGAGAGCCGGGCGATGGAGAAAAGGTTGCCCCACCGGGGAGCTGGTAAGAGCTCCGGCCCTGTACGGCCTGGCCTGAGCATGCCTGGGAGGGCGGGACAGCGGGCAGGCCCATTAGTGGGAATAGCTTGCTGGACACCCATCAAGTACGTAAACACTTGGGTAAAAACCTTGCTGCAGGAGAATTGGGAGAAAAAGTCAGAATTCCACCTGGGACCCCTCACATTTGATTGATAGGAATGGTGCCCGGCCGGGCGTGGCTCAGCGGTTGAGCATCAACCTAAGATCCAGGAGATCGGGGTTCGATTCCCTGTCAGGGCACATGCCCAGGTTACAGGCTCGATCCCCAGTCAGGGGCGTGCAGGAGGCAGCCGATCAATGACTCTCTCATCATTGATATTTCTACCTCTCTCTCTCTCCCTCTCCTTTTCTCTTTCTGAAATCAACAAAGATACATTTAAAAAAGTTAGGAATGGAGACTAGAGAAGGGACAACAAATGCCAGGATTTTGTGTAAGTTCAGAGAAGTCAGGAACTGCCCACGCACGTTTTGCAGGGTATAATTCCCTAAGAGGAGGTGGGCCCCTCAGTGGACCACTCACGCCACTGCTTCTGTTTAACTCGAGAGCTCAGGGAGGACTGAATCTGGGGACACGTGCTCTGGTTGATAGAGGCTCTGCCAGGCCCTGCGTTCTTCTTGATTTTAAAGGACGCATCTAGTTCCTCTATCACTTAGTGTTCTGACCTTTACCCTCATGGAAGTGGTTTGTCTGTTTAATAAATAGGCTCATGGGGCCCGGGGTCATGCAGGAAGCACCCTATATATTGGAGTCACAGCCTTTGTCAAGTGTGAGCCCCTCAGAGGGTGGGCATTAGATCCCTGTCCCAAACGGGAGACGATGTTAAGATGGGGGCAGAATGCAAGAATCTCCTAAAGCAAGTGTCTTTCTAAAATGAGCAGAGATAAAGTCGGTGACTCCCCTGCCTGTGACATTTGTCACTTTTTATTCATAGTGTTTCAGGTGAAACGGACAGTCTGTTGGAAATGGGTCTCTGCCCTGGAGCAGGAGAGCTTGTCACTGGTGGTTTCTCTCCTTAATAGAAGTCACGGTGCCCAAAAACGAAGCTCCGCAAACGAGTCCTGCACACGTGTGACCAGGAGCCGGGGGAGAAACTTTTAACGGCAAATTTTCTTTTTAAAAAAACTTTCAGAATATTTTAAGTGGCTCCACTAAGTCCAGGACTCCACTTAAGCACTGCATTGTGGGACAAAAGAAATAGAACCCAGTTCTAAGGGCCTTGCACCGGGAAAGCAGGAAGAGGGCACACACAAGGGGAAGAAATAAGCTCACGCAAAACAGCCCGAAGACAGGTTCAAAGAAGTTCTCGTCTTTTCTGTCTCCCTCTTCAGCAGTTAGTGAAATGCAGTGTGCAGAGTGCTGTCAGGTCCTAAGGTGACACCAAAGGATGCAGGCAGTTCCAGGGAGATGTGGCAGGAAAAGGCCCCCAAAGAGCACATGTGCCCCCCCCCATCCTGGCCCCTGGCTCCACCAGGATTTTTCGCTACTGCTGCTGCCGCCACTGTGTTAGGACAGTCGGTGAGGGAGCTTTGGGGGAGGTTCCGGCCGTAGCCAGGGACCCACTCTGCCCATTCCCAGTGAGGTGATTGAAGCTGTGGAGCAATTCAGACACCTTTGGTTGAAACAGAGGAAGAAGGGGGCTTGTTCTGAGCAGATAAAACCCTGACATCAGCACTGTCCACCTGCATGACCTGGAGTTGAGAATGCTTAAAGGCCTTATTTTTTTTCTTTGATTTATAAGATACCACATAGTAGTTATTTATTAACAGCTTTGTTTAAGTAGCAGAAGAAAATTGTCTTGACGACCTATGCGTATTAACTCTCTGAGCCACAGAAGCAGTTTGGGTGATTCCAGAGTGAAAGCACCTGGGTTACCGTCTGTCATGGGCAGTGATTTTCATTTCAGTGCAAAGAGAGGAAGGAAAGAATTGCCCACAACCTTTCGGTAACCAACCCTCCCACGGGGGGTGGTATTTGAGGGACAAGTGCTAGGACAGGGTGTGGCTGCTGCCTGGTACCCCCAGGACCTTGGGGTGCGGGGCTGCCTTTTGCAGAGCAGAGCAGGAGCTCCGGGTCCGTGCTGTGGGGCCCATCAGTGAGGCAGCCTCTGCACCGTTCCAGACACTGGATCTGCTTGTGGTTTAATTCATTATTATTACTTCTACTGCCATCCTCATCGCTCCCAAGTGATGGCAGCTGAAGTCAGTTCAATTTATATAAAACATACAGATCATGAAAGTTTTAATAACATGTTACTCAGTTTTCCAGAAAGTCCTAATTACCGCTGGTTATTATCCTGTAGTGGCAGGCACTTTACCCAGAGGCCTAATGGGTTGCCATCTTCCCGGCCCCCCCTTCTTGGGTATGAATCATAAAGTCAGGTATTGAGGTGTCCCAGAAGGGGGAACAGTTCTGCCTCAGGGACTGAAACTGCTTCATCCCCAGGGCTCCTGCTAACCCTCCCTCCTCTCCTCCACACTCAGTCTTCCTTCCTCAAGGGCATGGAGAAGCTCTTCAGCAAGGGAAGCTGGGAGAGTTCGATTGTTGTTGCAATAAACAGAGGAGCCCAGCCCAGCCAGGGTGGCTCAGCGGTTGAGCAGCATCAACCTAGGATCCAGGGAGATCGTGGTTCGATTCCCGGTCAGGGCACATGCCCGGGCTGCAGGCTTGACCCCCAGTAGAGGCCATGCAGGAGGTGGCCAATCAGTGACTCTCTCATCATTGATGTTTCTCTCTCTCTCCCTCTCCCTTCCTCTCTCTAAAATCAGTAAAGACATATTTTAAATAAATAAATAAACAGAGGAGCCCAGCTTGCCCAGTAGGCTGGGCCTCACAGGGCCACCTCGGAGAGGTCACAGGAAGCCTAGTGCCATGTTTGTGCTCCTCTGCCACAGGACACCTGTCAGTCTGCTGACATGCCACAGCAGGTGAACGGCCCGGGGTCGTCAGACTCGTCCAGGTGTCCTGGACGTTACTCTCCTCCTGTTGGGCTAGTCACGCCAGAGCCTAAGTCACAGCTTCCTACGCACAAGATTACAATTAGAACAAAGCAGTTGGAGGTTCTCATGTAGAAAATGGTAAAATACAAAAAGTCTATAGAAGAAAATTAGCACCTGTAAGCCAGCCCTCTAGGTGTTATCCCTGTTGGACTTTCCTTCTACCCTTTCTCTTGTGTGTATGTGTGCATGTGCATGTACATAATTTATTTTCTATATAGTTGTGGTGACATGGTAGATATTTTGGACAGTAGCTGGACCGATTGCCACCCTCACCTGGGCCTCATTTGATAACCAGCCTCAGCCTCCCACCCAGCTCATCCATCCAGACCGGACTGGTGACACAGCGACACAATCAGGTTTCTGACCCTCTTTTTCTAGACTCTCGGACTCACTCATTCTTGCATTCATTCTTTCAACAGTATTTCACATGCTCCTGCCACATGCATAGCACTGCACTGGCCCAGAGGCAGCCAGGGAAAGCACAAGGACATGGCGCTCAAGGAGGAGGCAGGTAGCCCTGTGTGTCACAGGGGAGTGTAGGTAGATGTCCATCTTGTCTTTGGATGTCAGGGACATTTTCTGGAGGAAATAAACTCCAAAGAGACTGTCACTTAATGAGTTATTTCAGTGTATTCAGGTTCATTTGAGTAGAATGCAAGGGGGAAGGACGTTTTGGGTATCATCCTAAAAATACATCCATATGTCTTAAATTCGTAAAGAAAACCAACTTTGTTCACACTTACCCTTCTTTTTAGCCTTGTTCTTTCCTTCAGTCCCTTCCTGAGCGAGTGTGGTCAACACTGTGGCCTCCATTCCCCACCTCCTCAGTCCACGCATGTCTCCTCGGCTCCCCCGCACAGGACACGTGTGTCTGTTTCCCACATCAGCTTCCCACAGTTAAGGTCTGCAGTGGATTTACCCACGGCTTACACGAGCAGTACCTGGGTAGCTAATGACGGCAGCAGCTAACGTATATGTAGCACTTACTGAGTACCAAGTGTCATATCAAATGCTTATAGTTTACTTCCCAACAACAGTCCAGCTTCGTAAATGCGAGAGCTGAAGGACTTGCCCAAACGCACGTAGTGAGTGAGCCGTGGGAGGCTGGCTCCCTCTGCAGCCTGCCCTTCATCGCTGAGCTGTACCTCAGTGGCTCTCAGCTGGGGCGAGGGAGATGCTGCCAGCATCCAGGAGTAGAAGTTAAATATTCTAGAGTGCGCAGGACAGCCCCCTCAAAGGAGAATTACACAGCCCAAAATCTCAATAGTGCCGAGGTTGACTGACTTGTTCCGCTCAGAGGTGGTGATAATGGGGACGGAATGGTGTAGAGGAAAGTTGTGGGGTGGTACCCCTTACTATGAGATGGTATGTGACGTGGTAGGTGAAGCCTGGAAATCAAAAAGCCTGTGTTCCGATCCCCCTTGGTTACGTGTTGGCCGTGTAACCCGGAACAGGTCCTGTACTTTATGGGACCTTGTTCCTGGCCCTGAAATGGGGATTGAAAATATCCTCATATTACAAAGAGAGTAGGAGGCTCATTGTGAACAGGACACTGCTCTGAAAATCAAGACTGAATAAATCTTGCTGTTAGCATTTCTTCGGTCGGGAGAAATTTCCCTGTCCATCCGGGAGCGGGGGAGGGACCCAGGTGTAACGAATGAAGGGAAACCCGTCTGTGGGTGAGGGCCTTGAACTCCTGACTTACTCTTCGATGGCAAGTCAGCTCCTGTAGGATTCCCGCTATTCCTGGAGACCCACCCAGAGTCCAAGGCAGGGTGTTTGTGTACATTTCAAATTGTAAGAAGGCACCATGTAATATAATAGTTTCGCTACTTCTTCCTCTGCTGTAGCTCAAAATTATTTCAAATAACAGTGCCTTTCCATCCCCAGATGCTTATAAGGTCCAGGGTATCACCTGACAGGTAATGGAGACCAACTGTCTGTACTCAGAGGACTTTGGTCATTGCT